TTGGCTAACCATGGAGGTTTGGGAAATTTTTTGTTTGTTTGTATGTAACTATCAGTGTCTTCAAAAAAGCCTAAATCAACTTTGGCTATCTCTTTGCTTCATTTATGTCTGAGGGAACTCAGTGATTTTTTTCACATACAACTTCCAAAATTAAGTGGATTATCTCCATCTTTTTTGAAGTTGTTCCATTTCCTCTCCACAATGTGCTTGAAAAATGACCACTCAGTCTTTACTCAAATACCTGCAATGATGGGAAACTCACTGCTTCCTGAGAACACCGTGTCACACTATTGAATGAACTGTGCTTTTAGACTATATGAATTGTTAGGAAGTTTTTCTTTTGTTCCATCATTTTTCACATATTGCTCCTAGTTCTGTCCTGTAGGGAAGAGCAAATGAAGTCAAGTCATTTTCCTTCAACATCACCTTTGCCAATTTGATGAATGTAAGATGGAACTTCAAATCTGTTTTAATTTGCATCTCTTATTAGTAATGGTTTGATGCATTTTCTAATATAGCTGTTGATAGCTTGGATTTCTTCCTTTGAGAACTGCCTGTTCATATCCTTTGACCATTGAGCCATTGGGGAATGTATATTCGTATGTATATATGTCAATTCCTCATTTCATTTGGATATCAGAATAACAAAAATTCCCCCCACCCCCATTCCCCCCCAAATTAACTGTTTCCATGTCTTGTTACTGTTGAAGCTATTCTGCCATTTAGTGATTATTGCTTCCAATTCTAAATGTTCACAGACTATTAAAAAAGTAATATTTTAGCAAGTTTCCAGAAATCAAAACCAAGCTCATAGGCTTGTGATTCGAAGATCCTGCCTTCATCTATGTTTTTTTTCCTGAAAATTGGGGAGACGTTTGCTTGTCTTGAGTCTTGTGATACCTCTTCTGTCCCTCCTGATCTTTCAAAGATCACTGACAGTGGTTCCAGCAATTGCATCTACTTAGAAGAGTTTACTCACACAAATTCACAATTCTTCCAGTGTTTTGGGATGTAACCCATCCCAGCCTGACTTTAACTCATTGAAGGCAGCTAAGTGTTCTATTACTAATGCTTTACTTAGCTTTGGCTTGAACTTCTTGTTAACCATTTTTGTGTTCTCCTCAGCAGTAAAATTACCACAGCACTTAGCACAGTGCCTGGCACATTGTAGGGGCTTAATAAATGCTTGCTTATTGAAAGTTATGCTGATTCAGTGACCCATTGTTTTCAGACCTGCTTGTCTGTGTTGGGGGGAGATGTCACCAGTCCCCTATTTGTCATTTAGTCAAGTTACCCTCCACCTGGAAATTGTCATGTATTTCTATCTTGGGAGGGAACTGAGATGCAAGGGCCCAGCCTCTTTATCTCACATTGACCTGTCTGAATTGTCTTTATCTCATTTCAAAAGTTATCAACGAAACCTGGCCCTGTCAGCTAGTCAACGTGTTGCTACCATGACATACTTATAATAAACTCCTTTTAATTCTCTTTCCTGAGTTTTGCCTGATTAATCAGGGTGAAAGTCCAAAGAATTTTCCTTTCAACATATTGACTGATTCTCCTTAATAAGGAAAGCAGAGGCAAAATAAAAGTTGGATGGTCCTATCAATTTCTTTGACATTCTTCTGGCTCCAGAAGTAGCTTAAAAAGCCCCACTGGCCCCCTTTGTCTCCTTGGCAGTCATCATCACCTTTGCTTATTCTGAACTTTGGCATTCCTGACTATATCCTTACAGGAAAGATCATGCTACTCTTTTATATTCATCCTTACCTGCTTCTTGCTTCCATTGTCTATACATGCACTGTTAATGAATTTAAGTTGGTAGCCATGTTTCTTTTACAGCCACAGGGATATCTTTTTTCTTTTTCCTCATCAGAATTGTTTTGCACTGAATTCCCTTACAGAACTTCAGGCAACAAGATTCTATTTATTTTTTCTCTGAACTCTGAAATCTATGACCCCCAAAGTTGAGTATGTCAAAGCCTTAGTATGTCAGACTTTTTTTTTGTGTCATGCATTCCAAGAGGTAAGGGTCCCTTCCCAGGGTTCCAAACATATCTACTTCAGCAATGAGTTCCTCTTCTCAGTCAGAATCATAGTTCCAGAATAGCAGTTCCCTTGCAATTCCCACATTTTGAAGGGTGAGACATTCAGTCTTCATCAAGGCAAGTGAAACACTTGATAGCTGATTTCCTTTTGGCAGAGACAGCAAGAGAGCACCCAAAGATATCTGAAGAGTTGAAGGTCCTCATGCCTGTGGGGCAGATTTGTGATGTTTTCTTAACTTTCTCTATATTGCTTCTGTATGTCTTCATGGCTTATAATCCTCTCATGCGACAAAATTGCTTTATTTCTTCCTTCATTGATCCTCACCTAATTGTTCTCCCTCTGGCACCCAAATTTCTTCACAAGTCAGTCTTTCTAATATACAGTACTACTCTGGTGCTTTTATTTCTTTTGTTATTTTTTTTTAATTCGGCATTTTCTTTAAAAGACATATTCTATTAATGAGTCCCATCTCACCAAGTCTCAATGATATTTACGAGGTAGAATTTGATATATATATCAAATTATGAACAATCGACAATCCACAAGCATTTATCATGAGGCAATGGACTAGGAGCTGGAGATACAAGGAAAAAAAAATGGAACAGTCCCTACCCTCGAGGAGCTTACACTGAATGGGGGAGACAAGTATATACAGATAAATGGAAACCAAATACAATGTAGTTTTGGGAGAAGGGTTTTAGCAGGTGGGTTATCCAGAAAGGCTTCATATACAAGGTGGTGTTTGAGGCAAGTCTTGAAGTGAAGAAAGATTTCTTTTCTGGAGTTAGGAAAACAAAAGCTAAGATAGTCCTCACCCTCAAGGATTAAGGGAGATGGCTATACTTATAGGGAAGTAGGAGCCAGGAAGGGGTATTTTGGAGTGGAAAGTTACTGGGGGAGTGTGAGTGGAGATCTAAGACAGTAGATTGACGTGCCCTTTCCATGTGTAAAGTAAAGAATCGTTTACTTCAAGATTTGGCTCAAAAAAGAGAGTGCATTCTAGGCACTGGGACAACCAGTACATAAGCTTGGAAATGAGATAGTGTTTTATGTGAGGAACAAGAAGTCCAATTTGGCTGGATTATAGAGAGCCAGAAGGGAAATAATGTATAATGAGGCTGGAAGGGTAGGTTGGGGACAGGTTGTACAAGGATTTAAAAGCAAGACAGAAGTTTATACTTAATAGTAGGAGCAACAGGTTACCACTGGAGTTTATTGAGTAGGGGTATGACATCATCTACAATGGACTGGAGTGGGGAGTCACCTGAGGTAGGGAGATCAATTAGAAAGCTATTGCAATAATCTAGGCAAGAGGCAATATGGGACTGTTCCAGTAGTGAGAAGGGGATGGATGTGAGAAATATGGTAGAACAAATAGAAGAATGAATGGCAAAACATTGGATGCTTACTGTGTGCCAAGCACTGGAGCTACAAAAATAAAAGCCAAGAAAGTCTTTGCCCTCAAGGATTGTTAAAGGGGGAGTTACACTTTTAGGGGAGGGTAGCCAGGGAAGGGTGTTTTGGACTGGAAAATCACTGAGGGAGGTTGAGTGGGAAGCTAAGAGAGTAGGCTGACATACCTTTTCCAACAGCAGAGCAGTGGCAGTATTGATCTGATCTGTTTAGTTTAAAAACTAAAAATTGTTTGGGAGAGGAGGGAAGATGGGGTAGTAAAGTGAAGATGGCTGGAGTAACTGGTTTCTATAGTGGGCTACCACAGGTGAAGCATTCAGACCTGGAGGCCTCCAGGGCAGGAGTTTCACAGGTAAAAGGTTTTAGTTCTTTAGGACACAGAGGAGATGGAAAGGAGAGGAGAGAAACCACCAGATTTGGCAAATGGACATGTCCTAGGAAGGAGAAATAAAAAGTCACCTCCACAACTTTAGTTAATGGAAGTGTCTCTTGAATTCACCCCTCAAAGGGAATGGTCAAAGAGGAATTGAGTAATTTTAGGAAAATCATTCTTCAAGGATGTGACAAAATATTAAGTTACTATTGTTCTATTTGATGAAGCAAAATGTTAACTGAGCTTTATCCTGAGCACTGAAATTGTTCTCACTGGGGAATTTGGTCTACTGTTCTGAATACTATAACTGAAATGGCTTGTGTTGCAGAAGTACTCAAGTTAGGCTAATCTAAGTGAACAAAAGTTGTTTCTGGCAGACTTGTGCCTAAAACAAAAAGTGCAGAATTTTCTTCCACACTGCTCTCTCAGAACTGTTTCTAACTATTTTAAAGCAGCAAAAGCAGGTGCGTCTACCAACCAATACCTAACCCAGTGTCAATAATCCAAATACAAGAGTTTTTTTTAAGATGATGATGGAGTGAGCACCTTTTGGAACTTGAATTTCCCAAACAGACAGCATGTGCTTATTAAAAAAAGATTACTTTTATTGTTTGGGTCTACCATCAAAAATAAGGGACTTCTCTTTGGCAATCTGCCCCAGCAACAGTCAGGGGGATCAGGCTTTCCTTCTCAAGGTTTCTAATCATCCAAGGAAGACTCTGAATGACTTTAAATAAAAACTATGGACTGAGGACATCACAGACTGAGAGAGAGTTCAGTGTTACAGCTAGAGTGACTTTATGTGCTTAATGAGAGGAGCCCGGGGGTACAGCTCTTCACTTGGCCATCTGTCCTTCCATTCTTTGGTGTACCTGAAGGATGTCCACTCTTACAACAGTCTCCCACTCCCACCCCAATCTTGCTTTGTCTCCACTGCTGTCCAACAGAGTTATCTTTGGACAATTCACTTCATCTCAGTGACCCTCAGATTCCTCATCTTGTAAAATGGGCATCATCACAACAGCACTGCCTCTCTTATGGGAAAATGAGGAAAATAATTTATATGTCATAAATTTCCATGGAGAGATGACTTGATGTTGTTATGCTACTGAGCAATTCTATCTTTCCCTCCCAGGAGAAAACTGATGACCAGATAGTTCTGCATTTATTTTTTATTAACAGTTTATTCTTTGTCATTGCTTACTTTCACATTACAAGTCCATGTTTTTTTTAAAGTCTTTTTTAATTTTAATTTTTGTAAAATAAATAGATAAATGAACCTTTAGGTAGGATGCTCTCTAGAGCCTTGGTTAACTTCATGATTGAATTTTCGCATCAAACCTCTGAAAATACAGCCCACGTGCACACGCATACACACGTGCACACACACACACACACACACACACACACAGATACACACATGCACTCACACACTAGATGAAAGCTAACTGTAAAAGTTACTTAGTCACTCCTGGCTGTGCCAACTTGGAAAAGTGTTAGAGACTGCAGGCAGGAGGAGGAGAAAAACCTTTTTTTCTCGGTCTGGTACCATCTACATTTTGCCAGGTAATGGTTTTGTCTCAGAGCAGAGAGAAATGCATATTAGGTTAAAAATCTCTTGAGTTTCAGCTTTGTTAGTCAGTTATTTGCAGATTAGAAGCTGTATTAACACCTAATGGTGGATCCTCCTCAGGACCTTCTCTGAACCTCCCAGTTCAGTATAGGCTGGTTGGTTCAATCCTAAATATGGACACAATGAATGAAGACAAGCATATTAGCCTGATAGACACATCATTTGCACAGGCTGCCAACAGTCTACCAGCTACTGCTAATTCAATCACCTACATTTATATAAAGTTCCACAATAGTTTGCTAATTGTTCTTTTCCAGCCATGGAGGTGCGTGGGGAACCCTATGGCCTTCTTGCTACCAAAATGATTTTATCTAAGCTGATCTAGTCATTCTTTTAGAAGGCCAAAGGAGTTAGTCAGGAGGATAACCGGGATTCTGGGTGGGGAGGCAGTCTCCCTCACCGTGAATTTCAGCATCAACATCTTACAATGACTTTTCTTTTAGTAGGTACATATTTATTACAGAGTGGCTAGAAGGGGCAATTCATTTGGCCTGCATCTCCTCAGGAGAGCCCTCACAGCCAACTCACCAATGGGCAACCTAAGACAAGGAATTTCCCTGGCATTTTACCCATGACAACAGAGTCATAACTCCATCAGACAGAATCCTGCGGGTGAGGTTGAACTGCCTTCCATAATAAAGAGAACAAAAATATTTCATCACTTTTTTTTTTACCACTATTATTGGCCTCATTATTGGCAGAATTAATTAGGCCACTACATTAGCCTATGAATAATTGTGATACCCAAAGAAATATGGAAAAAAAATAACGTTTTTCAAAATATCATCATTGTGGTTAAGTTTGGCAAATGCCATTTTTGTTCTCAAACACTGCTTAAGATTACATTCTTCTGGCACCTAACAGGGGAAAAATTATCTTTATATCTCCCATATCTCTTTCTCTCAGGCTACTCACACAAAACACATACACATACACGCATACACACATATACATATATCCCTACACACCCATACCCTAAAGCAATCACCAGGGAAATTTCTTTTTCATTACAGACTGCAAGATGCTTATCTTAGTTATACCAGGATATGGGAGGAAAGGACCAGGAACAAGGGAATGTGTTGTCCTGGAAAAAAATTACCCATCATTGACCCACTGTGACTCAAGAGTACAGTTGCTCTTCTATTCTTGTACACATAAGCATGCACATGTGGGCACGCAAGCTGATAGGCATGCTCCTGGGTATATAATTACCGAGCCTGCCAGTAATCTGAATATTAGCACTTCTGCAAGAAATGAAACCCGATGGTTTAAGGCAGCAGCTATAACAACCAAAGGGTTCTGTCATCTGTCCAGAGCCAGCGAAGCACCTTGTGCTGATGGGATTTGTTTGTGTGAGGAAGGAGAACAATTTAAAAAACAGAGTCAGAATAGGGCTGACAGAAAGAAGGTGAAGGTGAACAATCTTGTCCCTCATGGTGCCCACACAGGCACTCCTACCAACAAGGGGAAGTCCTTTGAGCACTCATTATCCCCATTTCCTTACATTAATATTGCCTGGCTTGGGGTTCCCATTCATATGCACAGTTCAAGTAGGAGCTTCCACTCGATTCTTTTCTTGGTCTTTCCTACCTCCTACCCTCAAACATTCTCAGTAAGCTGAGCACATTCCTGACTCTGTGTAGGAAGGGAGAGAAATGGGGAGAAGCTGCATGGATGGCTCATTCTCGCTTCGCTTCATCACAACTGCCCAGTGTCTGGGGCTCCATCCACCGGTGGCCAAAGCAGGCATTACTGTCTGCAGAGACAGATGGGGAGCATGCTTGCTCTTCCCTGCACATGAGCCCCTGGCCAGTCCGGACTTCAGTCTTTCAGCCATTTGCTAGCTAGTATTCTGGCAAAATAAAAATACACAAAACTAATGGGATCTTCCCCCCTCCCCACCCTAAAAAAACCCAAACACAACAACAAAAAACCTCAACCAAAATGGTAACAAAAACAAAACAGGTGTGGTTTGTTCAAGTCCTTTGAGCCCGGAAGTTGTGTTCTTAGCAGAGAAGCAACCATCGAAAACAAAAAGAACAAAAATCCCCTTCCTTTCCTGTACTTTCTAGACATTATAGCAAAAACAAAAGAAAGCAGGCAACTGTCTCTCCTCAAATCATCAGTAGCTAAGTCAGAGGAAAAAAATGTTCAAGTTACAGGTTGCAGCAGCAGCCAACACTAAACATTCAAGTCGATCATTTCACTATGTACACGACAGGAGAGATACAGCCCTGCCTGGGAAGGACTTCCCCGTCCCTGGGGAGGCTGCAGGCTCCTGTTATCTGATGCGCTTCTCCACGGAGTACACCGAGATGTAGTAGTCATTGCTTCCAACCGCCAAATGAGGCTGCAGAAGAGAAAGCAAACCAGAGAGAATAAACAGCTTGCTCAGCCCACGCTTTCACACAAGGACCCAGGCAGAGAGATGCAGAAGACAAAAAGGCATTATGGGCAGCAATATGCAAATCACTTATGAAGTCATCAGGCTATCTTGATCCTAAATGGATCTAAGAAGGTGCAAATTGCAATGGTGTGCAGTCTGTCTTTCACCTAAGAGTTTTCATTAATCCTACTGTACACATTGCTATTCCAGGCAGGCCCAGAAATGATGGTGGCTATTAGCTGCCAGCCTGTAGCTGGGACAATGCATTACCTGTCTTCCATTATGGGGAATTTGCATATTACCCATAGTGCCTAGCATTTTTCTTTCTAGGCTAATCCTATGGGGACAAATTCTGTGTATTTCATCTAGTCCATTTCAGTGGAAATCTTGGGTTGAGAATCCTCTGGAGCAGGGGTTCTTAACCTGTGTATGTAACATTTTCAAAAATATTATGATAACAGTATTTTAATACAACTAATTTTCTTTGTAATACTTATGTATTTTATGTTTGCATTTAACAACATTATTCTGAGAAGGGGTCCATAAGCTTCACTAACTGCCCAAGGAGCCCATGACACAAAAATGGTTAAAAATCCCTGAGTCTGAGTTTCAGGCTGGAAGAAGGTAACTTAAAAAAAATATAACACATGATTACATGAATGGATTATTATTAGTGGCAAGGCTGGACATCATTAACTCTACTAATTTTGTTGGGTTGCTTTTGTAAGGAGAAAGTGGGAACAGGAAGATATTCTAATATCATTGTTTGCTGAAGGGTACTGGTTTCATTTCATGGGAGGACCAAATGAAGCTGATTTTTCAGCTTTTGAACCTATGTTCAAGGTCAAGGTATCAATAACAGTGTCTGTCCTGAAAAGCTCCACAGGCCGTCTTTCATTGAGCAATAAAGTTAGCTTCCCCGATTCTCAGGAGGTAAATGGGGGCAGGAGAATATAGGCACAGATCATTTATTCACGGGTCTATTGGCCCCAGAACTCAGGTGAGTGAGGCTGGGGTTACCCCAGGAGCAAAGGTGAATGGCTGATTGGTACAGGGAGACAGGTATTAGTTCCACTCAAGGGGTCAGCACAAGTCCAGTTTAATACAGCAAAGCATTCACTCAACCACAGAAATCCTGACGCAAGGATACAGACCCAGTGGGGGTGGAAAGCCAAGCAGCTGATGGCTCCGACTCTTTGTCCCATAAACCCATCATAGTATTTGATGTTGTTGATCAGCTCTCCATTCCCATTGTAGATAGCAGTGAACTGATTCATTGAGCCACTATAGGGCAGGAAAGAGAGAACATGTGTAAGTCAAGATTGTTCATTTATTTATTTATTTTTGCCACATGTGTTTGTGGGGGGTGAAGTAGGGGCAAGAGGGATTTAAACCAAATTCTTTTCCTCTATGCTTTGCCTCAGCCACTCCTAAAAATGGGGTTTGTCTCTAAAATTGAGCAGAAGGGGTTAAACAACAATGCAGACAAATAGATCTTCTCTTCAATTCACTTAGAGACTGCTGGAAAAGATATACTGTTGGGCCTGGATTAAAACTGTTTTCTCCTAGAATAACACTGTTCATCAGGACAGAAGACCAGGAGATAGATTTTTCTTGTGTCCTTCATAATATGGATGCTGGGGCTCAGCAATCTTTCTTTAGAGATGAACCTTTGTGCCACTCTTTGACACTTTGGGAACTTTTGAGTAAAATCTCTATATGTAAGGCTCTCAGATCCAATTTCAGTGCATGAGGGACAAAACCAGAGAGAGGAGAAGCTGGGGCCAGGTACTAATTGATTGCTCAGATCCCCTACTATCCCCTCCTAACCTAGGGTAGAGGCATTTGGTTGCTGTCTTTGTCATCTATCATTTCTTTCTTCTCACCTTTGAGTTCTTCAGCTCTGAGGATGCTAGAATTCCTAGAGCTTTCTTAGGGCAACAAGGAAGTAGAGACTTTACGTTCTTGGTTCATGATGTTATAAACATTTCCTCCCTAGTGCATCTGCTATTTATACTGGGGCTATGAAGGTGGAGCCCATGATACTTAGGAGCTCTGCATCTTCTTTGTGGATGATAAAGTGGGACACAAGGATTCCTCTTTCTCCTCCTCTTGGGGACTCAACTGTGGGGGTATGTGGCAGGGAGTGGGGGGATGACAACATTTTTCCTCTCTCTCTTGCACTGAAGGAAGATAGTTGGGAAGGGAAGAGAGAAGACTGGCACCTACCATGCAAACAAATTCGCCTGTGGGTGAATGTCAAGGGCCGTCAGTCCTTTCACTATTTGGAGGGCATTCACAGACTCGGGCATTCGGGGGTCGAAGAAACGTACATCTCCATTGACACTGCCAAGAGAGAACATTTTCAAGCATTATGATTTGGGCCAGTTTGATGGAAGGGATCATCACAATGGAGCAGACTGTGGGTAACTTTCTGGGCCAGGATACTTCACCAAGTACTAAGAGCCAAGACTGTGGGGATTAGGGTGCAATCTCAAACCTGGAATAAGACCCTTTATTCTGGCACTTCATTCTGGTACATGAAAAAAGACTCTGATTCTCTATTTACATAAATATTGCACAAGGCCAAAATATCCTGGACTCTGAATGATAGTCAATTAAATAACATGGGAAATCTGGCATTCTTTTAAATGCCACTCATTTGGGAAGCCAGGGTTGTGTGAACTGCTCATTTTCTTTCCTTCTTGTTTAAGAGAAAGAGGTGTGGGGTAGCTAGGGATCGGCAATTGTCACTGCCCATTCTAGAAAGTATGAATCCTCTTTGGTTCTGGAAAAAACCCAAATATGGAAAGCATGGATTATATCTTTTATATTTTGTCAGGAAGATTAGATTCTGTGGAATTGGGAGCAATGACATGATGACAGCACACATCTGACAGCTGTGGTGTTAAGCCCCCTTTCCAATATAGGAGAATTTTAATACCCTCCTGCCTTCCACAAATAAGAAGAAAAGAACAGCTCTGTGAAGAAGGCGTGGTGGCTTTGTGATAGTAAATTACATTCTGCTGTCCCTTTAATGGGCAAATAAATATTCACTACTCTCAGCACAGTATTTACCAAGCAACAGACATGGATTTATGAGCAGAAAATTGCTAGATGGTGAAGTAATCCTGCACAGCAATATGCCCAGCAGACACGTACTGCTCCTTCTTCTTCCTTATAGTCTGTCTGCCTGATGTGTGGAAGAGAACAAAGGTGATTTTTGAGAAAGGGGGACATATGCTGTATAGAAGGCATTTCACCTGCTTCCTTGGAGTGTTTCCCCACTTTGTTCCCTTTACCGTTTGCAATGAAGCTTAGCCAAGGAAAATGCCCTGAGAATTCAACAAGCAAGGCCAGCCAAGCTGGAAGACACAGACGTATTTCCTCACTAACCTCCTGCCCTCATCAGTGACCCTTTGGCCAGTCCCAGGCAGAAGTTAATGACTGCTCTGAAATGCCAAAATGAAGTGCTATCATTTCCTGGCTGCTTAAATACCAGGCACATATTTTTAATGGAGAGGAAAATAATGTTTTTACAGTAAAATGTCTCATAAATATTCCACTCTCATTACCTGACGCTCATGATGTGGCCCTCGGGATGTTTCTGGAGGTGTGCTTTCACCACCCAGGCAGTATGCTCACGGTAGGTCATAACTCGGCTAGAGAAAAAGGAGAAGGTGAACTCTTGACATTCAATTAGCGACTGAAAATCCTGGGCAGAGCATTGAAGGCTCTGTCTAGACTCATGGTTCTCGGTCTTGATGGGTACAATGAGGAGGCTAGCATGGAAAAACCAACTAAACATTTCTTCTTACCACAAGTTTGGGAGTTGGCTGGTAAAATGTTATAGGAGAAAAACAGGTCTATATTTTCCCTTGTTCCCCAAGGTGCAGGAACTAAAATGACATGAAAGTTTGGGCAGTTCCCTTCACCTTAACTCTGTTTTGAGGGTAATGGAGTAATCAATCAGAAAGGAAAGAAATAAGCATTTATTAAGCATCTACTATGTATCAGTTTCTGTACTGAGCACTGTGCAAACATCTTATTTGATCCTTGCAACAATGCTGGGTGCTATTATTACCTCCATTTTACTGTGAGGAAACTGAGGCAGGCAGGGATTAAGTGACTTACACAGGGTCACATAAGTAGGCCTGGGTGGTCTTTGGGGTAATCAGTAACTTTTGAAATTTTCAGAGAAGAAAGAGGGATCAGCAATATTCTAACACTACTTTGTAATTTTGTCTTAAGGGAATTTGGTGGGTCTACCACGGAGACAATGTCCCAACTCTAATTTCAAGTCCTTTCCTCTTACAAAATATGTAGGTTGAGGAGGAAGGGCTAAGAGCTCACATTCCATTTTCCCCTTCAGTGTTTTCTCCACATTGTCTCCAAATTCCATTTGAGTCTATTGCTGAGAGGCCTCATACTTCTACAGCATCTTTCTCCTAAAAACTTTCAAAAGCTTCATACAGACATACATGCACATGCACGTGTGTACATACACACACACCCACACACACACACAATCTCAATATCTAATTTATTCTCACAAACACATGCCTGTAGAACAATGAAGGGCAGGAATGAAGTTCTATGTTTTATATCTCTTGAAAATGAGATATATAAGTAACATGTCAAAGGTCATTAACGAGAAAGGACTAGAACCTATGTCTTCTGACTTGGAACTTTGACCACCATGTCTGATTGCTTCTAGTCAGGAGGTGGAAATTCACAGCTTTATCCACCTTTTCCAATCAGATAAAGGTTGCTGCTGTGTCTGTTCATTCTATGGGCTCTCCTGTTAAGGGTACAAAAGGCAGGCAGTATTTTTCTTGTGTTGGGAATCTAGGGTGACCTAATTGAGATTCCTGTTTCTTTTTAAAAAATTTTTAGCCTTATCCAAGACTAAATGGCTCCCAGTGGAAAAGTATAAAAGTACACATTTCTCAGTAGACTACTGAGTCAATGCTTGATTGTTTTTCAAAGTAATTCTGATCCAGCTTTATGCTGGATGATCACTCACTCATGGCCAAACTCAGTCAAGCAATTTTGGCCTCTTATAAATAAATATAGCTTCTACCTCATTGACAGTGTGACCCTGGGAAAGTCATTTAACTCCTATGGGCCTGAGTTTCCTAAACTATAAAATGAGAAAATTGGTCTAGCTGGTCTCTAACGTCCCTACGGTGGGGGTGGGGAGGGGGAGAGAGAGAGAGAGAGAGAGAGAGAGAGAGAGAGAGAG